AGAAGAATATATGTGATTGATTGATTGATTGATTGATTGATTGATTGATTGATTGATTGATTGATTGATTGATTGATTGATTGATTGATTGATTGGTTGATTGATTGATCTAACCTCTGACCCTGTGTGTGCATCAACCATCTGTCCACACAGCTGATCTGGGACTGGCTGCAGCTTCACTGCTGTTGGTTTTAGGTTTTAAGGAGAAAAATGGAGGAAATGTTAAATAATCCTGCTGATCTGCTGCATGATCACTGCACTGGAAAGAACACATTTATTAAAATACGTTTTTTCCCTAATTGGAGCAGGTAAATAAAATGACCTGCCAATGTAATGAGCAGTTTTACCTGTAAAATATTTGGATATTATACACTTTAATTAGGAGTATTGCCTTGTATTTATTTTATTATTATTTTTAATGGAAATCATTTATTTCCATTTGCAAACTTCCTACCTGCTCAAAACAGGGAAATTACAGGAGAGCATTTGGGCCACTGGAAAAATGTTTGAAAAGTGAACTGATTTTTTTATTTAATAAGAGTTTATTTTGGGGAAAAAATTACAATCCTGAATTTTTGTTAAACTCAAAATAAATAACAAAAAATCTGCAAACATTTTAAAGTTTTTTTTTTTCCATAGATGCAATTAATTCAAGAAAAGTTAACTTACTTAGATTTCATTATTTTGCAGTGAGTCTGTCGCAGAAAAAAAGGAAGTGAAAAAATTCCTGGTCCATATTTTTCATCCTTGTATCATTATTTTTTATCGGTTTTGCTGCTTAAAAAAAAAAAAAATTGTGTCTGGAACTACTGCACAGCACAGGAGGCAGAAAACTACAGAGTGTTTGTAATTTGGTCCAGAGAAAAAAGTTGATTTGGAAAATAGAGAGATGTCAGCCTAGATTTTAACATTGTGCTTCCTTAAAAAATGGCTGACAATAAAATAAACAGTTTAGAATAAACATCATGTGTTTATTTTTAGAAGAAACTCGAAGAAACTCGTTGAGTTTTGTTCCATTATTTTGCAGAAAAATAATGCAACACAGAAATTAAGCTTTGAAAAATATCTTAATCAAAAAATTTTTTTTGATGGTAACTTTGCACTAATTTCACATTTATTTTTCAGTTCTTTTCATAATTTTTGTATCATTTTTTTCCTCATATTAATTTTTTCTCCCATTTTATTTGTTAAATTTTTTCCCTCAGATTGAGTTTTATGAATCGCAGTCTTTTGAAATTGCATTTTCGCAATTTCTGGGGGCGGGCTTTCCTCTGGAGTCTGGAGCTAAGATGCTTTTCTATTGGTCTGCGGGACGTTAGCAACATTTTTATTGGTCAAGAGTGAATGTAA